GGTCCCTATTTTTCTACTTGCATTTTTACATGCTTTCGAACTGTTAGGTTGGCAGAAGCTGGGAGAAGTAATGGAAGCTCACTCTGTTATGTGGCACTAGGAATTCGAACTGCCAAACTGCCAACTTTTCTGTACGACAAGCTCAGCATCTTAGTCACTCAGCCACCATATCAATCCCCTATTTCCACCAGAACAGGATTGAATACTTTGCAGCTCAATATATAGCAGTGATTGGCATCATTTTCTTGTCTCCTCAAAATGGCATGCCTAATACCCAAGGTTGGTGGAAAAGCAAAACAAAACAATAAAAACACAGCAAAATACTTTGCTTCACACAGATGGTTTAAACAGGAACAATATGTGTCAGTTAAACATCTATTCAGTATCCTAGCCCTGCACTTAAAATTTATTCTTCCTTATTTGGGACTTCTGCACTCAAATTATTCATGGGCCCTCTCCTCATTCTTCTGTTTTACAGCTCTCACTGAAGTGAAGTAATTGAATGTAATAATTATACCATTATGAAGCAAGTGTGGAATTAGCATTTGTTCCTGGGGAGTGTGAAGCAAATGGGTACTATTGGTGAATTAGTTAAAGGCACGCTAAGGCTGCAATTAGAGGCACCTTTTATTTCTATTGATTTAAATTCCACTGGATTTAATTTAGATCCATGATCTTGGATTAGTCATAAATACCTTCAGAATATTTGTCACCTTGATATCCTTGGTGAGTTTGTTGCCTTTCAGTCCAGAATGAACAAATAAAGTGGCATGTGGAGAACAAAGTGAAATTTTTCCCAAGTACAGACCAGGCAGATAAACAACAAATAAAGCTCTCCTTTGTTTAGAGCAGTGATGAATCATCTTTTTGTCCTTGTGTGCCCAAAGTCTGTGTGCATGCCCATACCCATAATGCAATGCACACGCAACACACACACGCACACACCATGCATGCATGTGCGGCCCACCCCACCCCCGTGTATGCATGCATGTCTCCTGCAGGCACCCCACCCCTCATGCATGCATGGCAAAGACCCCAAAATCAGCTGGTGGTGTGTGCGCATGCGCAGTGGAGCTGAGCTGGGGTGAGGGCTCACATGCCTGCAGAGAAGGCTCCACATGCCATCCACATGTGCCATCCACATGTGCCGTAGTTTTGCCATTACGGGCTTAGAGGAACAGGCGGTGCGAGAGAAACATAGACTGATGTAAAGAGCAAGAGACGCTGCCTTTTTTATTAAGCCCCTGAAGACACTAAGCATAATTGACCCATTATGATGCTATGAGGCCCGTTTTGAATCTTCCAAAACCTCCTTCTTTTTGTTTCCCATGGTTGCCAAATGAGTTCCATGACCCTAAGTACAATTCAGGATGGTTTGATTATAAACAACAATGGCCCCACGTTTGAATTTTCAGTAGAACCTAAAAAGCAATTTATGATCAGATACGTGCAGTAGATTCTCTGTTTAAAGACAAAAGAGTTTTAAAATATCACGTCAGGAACAGTATCTTTATATTTGGGCCCTGTTAATATTTGACATGCAAAGTTTGCAATACTACTCACATAAAAAGTAAAATATAGAGGCATACCTATATATAGGCATACCTTTTACCTTGCTGTAGAGGTTCAGTGCCTTTTTCCCAATTAATAACAGCCTTGGGAGAGGCATTGGGTTTGCATCCAATAGTTACTTCACCTCCCTCATGGACGACTGATGTTTTTTTCATGGGATATTTAGAAAAATCAGGAGCTGAAGCTATAAATAAGTAATCAATCAATCAGTCAAAAGGATTTTGGGATGTGGAACAAAACCTGAAGCCTCCAGTCATATATGATCTCATCAAAAGTGCTGGGGGTGGTCTTTAGGGGCTCTCCATGATTTAATAAAAGGAACTTATAAAATATATGAAAAGTATCCATATTATATAAATATAAATATAATAAACCAACCTAAACCAAACCACATTAACAACATTAAATCAATAATTTGGATTAGCATGTATACTCCTCTAATTTACAGCATATAGGGTATGTTTTCCTCACAAAATACCCAGTTAAGTTACAGTCCTGGATCCTCAAAGCATATGTGCTCTAAAACATACTTTGACATTTCTTAGAAATGAATGGGGCTGCAATCCTACACACGTTAACTGGTAGCAAGACCCACTAAATTCAGTTATTGTTATTTTTGAATAGAGCACTACCACCTATGGGTTCCTACCAGTTCCGACCGGTTTTACCAAGCCGGTAGTGGCTTGGTGGCTGGGTCGCTGGAACCGGCAGCGACCCAGACCTGCCACGCCCCCGAATTGGTTCTGCTGGCAGTGCCATAGGCGCCCCATCTTGTTTTTGTCTTCTGAGCATGCACAAATTTTTTTTNTCTCTCTCTCTCTCTCCCTCTCTCCCTCCCTCCCTCTCTCTCTCTCCACAAGAAGATCTTTGCTACTCTCATCTGTGTTCCTTTGGGGGCAGGTAGACACTCACACAAACATTGGATTGGCCTTCCAAACATTGTAATTGTTGTTTTAAATCTTGGAAGACGGAAGCTTCTGTGGCCTACGTGAGGCTCACAGACATTTGAGGAAATGTGGGAAGCTGACCCTGCTTTGGAGCAAGTTAACTTCCCATGCTTTTTTTCCCATTAAAAGAAATATTCAAAATCAGGTGGAGCAAGGAGGCTGACAAGTACCAAATGTGGAGGCTAGGTTCAATCTTCCAGATCCAGATGTCCACCAACTAGCTTTGCTTAAAAGTGAGCTGTCTGCAGGTTGTTTCATCTGCCAGCCACAAATATTTGTGGTATAGCCATTACTTTGAAGCAGCACAGGGGCCATATATGTGATTTCTCAGTAGCTTGTGGATTTGGATATAACAGTAAAGCATTGGTGTAGAAGCCAGCTGTAAACCATAGGTGGATTGATATCCTAGCTTAGTAGTCTCTGGATACTCCTGTCCAGAGTTTTTCCTTTGATTTGATGATCATGTCATCAAATGTTGATCACATCAACAGCAAGCCCACTTCTTGAACTCATCCCCACTGGGGCTGTGTAGTTAAGGGTGCCATGCATGTGACTTAGCATGAATATGGAACCTTGCACCCAAGTGAAAACCTTTGACACAAAGAACAAAAATGATTGGACTACAGATTGGTGGCCTTCACCTTTCACCTACATACACCTCGAGCCATAAGACTTGCTCTTTGCTTTGGGCTTGGCACATTACCTTACTGCTATGTTTACTAAACCACTGTTTCAGTGGTGGGTTCCTAACCAATTTACTACCGTTCGCTGAGAAGGTGTTTTGTGTGCATGCTGCTTGCTTCGCTCGCACCTGCCATACATTGCTGTGCATGCGCGTGTTGACTGAAAACTGTTCTGTGCGTGTTGACTGAAAACTGTTCTGTTCTGCGCATGTTTCTGCATGTGCAGAAACATGCCGGTGATGGCAGAAGAGACCAGGGACCCGGTTCGGGGGTGTGGCAGGCCTGGGGTGCTGCCGGGTTCCGCGACCCCGGGTGCCCTATCACTAACAGTTTGGGCAAACCGGGATGAACCGGG